TTTTTAGATCTATGATGTACATTTATATTCATCTCTTATACAGCTCTTTGCTAAGGAATTCAGGAAGTAAAAACATAGATATTTAAATTTTCTTCTTCGGGTCATCCAGCTGCAAAGCTAATTCCTCTGAATTACAATCCCAGACTGCCTGTCAGGCAGTGTCTCCCTCTCTTTACAGGTACGGTTGCAATATTTGGTGCACCAATAATTTGCATGAGGCAAATAAACCCCCAGACCAGGAGACTCCAGCCTACAAACATGCTTTCCCAGGAAATGATACAGACTTATGGAAGAGACTCAGGGTAGGTGGGAAAAGACTCTGCAGCAGACCAATAAAGCCTTCTGCAGCTCCAGTGAGGTCACTGGAATGGGTCTGACAAGCAGGTAAATTGGGACAGTTGAGGCAATTTTCCAAGTGGTCACATGGGAGCCAGAGAAAAGGGAAATATTGCATTTTCTCCATAAGAAGAAACATTCTTCACACAGCCAGGCTTAGACAGACTTGGCTGTGTTTCATAACATTTCGTATCTTTCAATTTTTTATGCGCACTACATAATTTAAGAACTGGATAACAATCGCTTTAAGGAAATTAAAGGAAGTTAAATAGATGTTGCATTTTAAAAAATTCTTGTAGCCAGTCCAGCTGGTGTAATTTCTTTCTACCCTTGGACCAGACCTTTGGAAACCTTAGCATGTCCAAAATCATAGCATCATAGAATGGTTTAGGTTGGAAGGGACCTTAAAGATCACCTAGTTACACCCCCCCTGCCATGGGCAGGGATACCCCCCACTAGAGCAGGTTGCTCAAAGCCCCATCCAACCTGGCCTTGAACACCTCCAGGGATGGGGCCTCCACAACTTCTCCGGGCAACCTGTTCCAGTGCCTCACCCCCCTCACAGTGAAAAGATTCTTCCTAATATCTGTTCTACATCTACCCTCTAAATAAGCCAAGACCATAACCTGGTATACTCAAGGCCTGCTGGGCATATATGCGTATATGTGTTTGAACATTTGTGTTGTAATGACATGCTGTGTTCAGGCCACATTCCCTTTGCTTGTGCTGTCTAAGCCAAAAATGTTAAACAAATGTTACTGTCAGCGGTGGAATCCCAGAAGTTGCTCAAGAAGGGAGTGCCTGGCTGTAAGGGTGCAATATGAGATGAGGGGAAGAGAGGCAAATAAGGTCGAAAGTTGTTGGGATGCAGTGCACATCCTAATCTCCAAGGAACTCACCCTTTGCCCACACGGCAAGATCTCCAGCAACCTGGTATGCAGCAAATGATCGCAGAGTATAGAATATGTTAAAGCTGCTTCCTTATAAAAGGACTGGCTGGCTTTCTAGCAATAGACAGTCTCTCTTCCTCTTCCACATAGTTCTCCCTCTCCTGGCACTGGAGAGCTGCCAGCCTGCTGTAGCTAAGCCCACAAGCAGAAGCAGCCTGCAAAAGTTGTTCGTGTAGCAGCTGCTCCATCAAACTCACCAACTCAGTCGCCACAACACTAGAGCAAATACTATGAGTTTGCACTGTTGTGGGGAAATCAAGGAGGATAGGCCTGCTGTTCTTCCAAGTGATTCCTTCTGCAGAAAGCCTCTAAGGAGAACAAACTGTTCCCCTGCTGTTAAGGAATAACCATTTGACTTTCATCGAGCACTAGAGACTGGGTGCAAAATAATGCATATGGACCAGACAGATCCAGACGCGACTGTAACACCGCTTTTGAGGTCTGGAAGGCACAGCACAGCCATTCCCCAAAAGCATGAAACCTCAGTGATGCTAACATATCCTTTTCTCACCGATGGGTGAAAAGAGTTTTACCTTCTTATTTTGTGTCTTTCAACGTCTTTTCCAGCCTCCACTGAAGGGTGAACTTACCATTGCAGCTGCTTCCCCACTCTCCAAGAAGCCACAACCACAAGAAATCGTACTGCATCTTCACTCCCTGAGCAACCACGTAGCAAGGATGCTACTGTTTGTGTGCCATGCATTTGAATCAGGAAGCCCTTACAACAAATAAACTACAGCCACCTGAGATGAAATGTGCTAATAAGACTTCTCCGCAGGGAACAGGCAATTCTTATAATGCAGATCTAAAGCTAACTTCTGCTCTCCAATGTATTGGCACTTGTCAGAGCGGTTTGATGAAAGCAACTGAGTGGCAAGCAGTGACACTGTCTCCCATTACCACAGCTGTATGGCTTTTTTATTATTATTATTATTTTTGCTGTCAAAACCAGGATTTGTTCCTTGGTTTCTCCAGCAAAAACATCTCTCAAGATCTGGAATTCTTATTTGGGACCTTCTGAAATTATTATGACCTCACCTCTACCATCACATAGGGAATATCACTGAGGAGAGACCTAACATTACCTTTTCTCCCTAGACAGGTCCTTCACAAAATCTGAGAGAGAAATACCATACAGCTGAGCCTATGAGAGGCTGAAGGAAGCCTGAGATGATGACAAGTAAATTATTTCATCACCAGTCAGGACCTTTATTACTCTGAAGATGTCCATCCTAGGGACCAAGATTTGCCTGTGACTTCTGGACCAATGTCCACAGCTGGATCTAAGCAGGCTGAGGAGTGTGTGAGATTTTTAATGCAAATGGCTGAGGGAATTAAAAAAAAAAAAAAAGCATGCTTAGTTTTCCTGCCAGAATTGCTTTTTTTTCCATTCATCGATGCTTGTAAAAGCAAAGGGAAAAAGGATGTGGCAGTCTGGAGTTCCCACTCACCAGTCAGCTCAAATATGTTCATCTTTCCTCACGTCTGATTTTTTTCTTGAGCCAAAGCTTAAATACGTGGTTACAAGGGCCGGGCATCTAAGGCTGTCCCAGTGCCCCCTAGTGAAAAAACGGTAAAAGCTATACCTTGTTTTATCCAATATTGATTGTTCATTTCTATCGCAAACAACAACTGCTGGTAATTAAAACAGGACCCTTTTTCCTACTGTTTTGTAAACAATCTGGTCTACTAGTCAACATGGAGATGATACGCAGATCTGTCTTTCATTTCCATCAGACCAGATGCTTTGCTTTTCCATTGCAAAATTCAGATGAGGAGTTGGATAAGATGTAAGCCCAGACAAGAGTCAGTTGTCATTTGTGGAGGGAGGGAAGAGCTCTGAGTCTGCAGAAGGGTGTGACATGCCTCAGTACTCAGATTTCCTCTTAGGTTTCCAAGCAATTCAAAAATTAGGACAGTGCTTTGGCCCTCTAGATACTGCAGATTAGGATGGGACTGGTTGGGCTGACACATAGATAGTTTAGGGGAGTAGGGTTCCTCTGAGGTAGCTATTGTTGAAGGAGTCATGCCTCTAAAACTGGAGCCGAATAGTCCCAGCAGCTGTGGAGAAGAAATCTGTTTCCTCCTCAGCAGATGCCTGTATACAATATTTGTGAGAACTGAACTCCTTATCACAAAAGAAAATGAATCTCCTCTTCCCTCTGAAGTCTCAAAAAACAAGTCTAGAGCTTCGAGCTTGAAAACAATCTGCTTTCCCAAAAGGCATAATAGAGGTCTGATGTTTTCCTTTAAATATTAATGGTGATTAAAATTGGACTTTAATAGTTGCATGAATTCCTTTTAAGGTTGTGTTGTTGTTGTTTTGTTAAAATTAGTGTGTTAGCAAAAGTGAAGAGCATCCTTAAATTGCATAGTGATTATTCCATGGAAACGAACCCCTTTCTTTTTGCTTTTTTCCATTTCATAGGTAAGGTGACCTCGTTCTTCCAAAAAGTAGGGTTGGTTTTTTTCATATATGCAGATCTAGTACTGACTTCCTCACCTTTTTATGTGTCATGCCTGGAAAGACAAACACTTACCTACAGAATTAAGGGACTTTATGATACAATTGGTTTCATTACCTCTGTTACACAGTAAGAGAAAAGTAAGGTCAGGCAGGCACAATGCCTCATCCAGTATTATCCAAAAGGCTGAAGGAAAAGCTGGGGAAAGAACCTGCCACTCTGAGTCCCCAGTCAATGCCCTGTATGTGAGCCCCCATTAACTGTAAGGAACAATTAAGCATTCATACAGCCTTAGCAGAATTGCATAGCCCTTTATTGCTTCATTCAGCTGTTGCCTCCCCTACAAAATCAAAACAACCCCCAAATAGCAGACTAGAAAGGAACCGGCTGTAATGAGGAAGACATGGGAGACTGGGATGGGGACGGGGGCAGCTGAATGCTTGATTTTTTAACAGACTCTGGTCCCTTTAAATATCTGCGAATTTCAATATCAGAACCAAAGAAATCTTTTGGGAGGTGTTTCCTTTCTCCACTTCCAGCAGCTACCGAATTCATGCCAAATACCAGAGGAAAGAATAGAACGAAAAAGGGAAAGGACATCATCACTAGCTTTTAAGCAAGCATCTTCTATGCAATCCAATAGTCCCAAACCATTTCATATGTTACTGTCACACACTTGAATGCAAATATGTCACAACTATATATTGTTATATTGGCAGCTGAAGCCTGATAACATCACAGGTAGCTTTCTCTGTGCTGTACGTGCTAGGCTGTCAGGGTAGGGTCCGTAGGCGTTTCATAGGCACCTTACAAAACCCAGGCTTCGTTCTGTTTACTATTACCGGGAATCTGCTTGGTGGAGCAGAAGGATATGCCACCTGTGACTGCAAAGGATTTTGCTTTAAGGTTTCCTGATCGGTAATTTTTATTAATGTGGGAGAAAAAGGAGAAGGAGAGAGAAAGGAAAAAGTGAGAAAAGAGTGTAGTTTTGTTTCTTGGGATATTTTTAATATATATTTGTATTATAATAGAATACATATATAATTTTACCTTTCTGTAATTTGTGTATTTTTCTATTAGTCTATATAATTATTTAGCTGAACTCCTGTTTAATGCAGAAAAAGAATTCCAGAGTTGGGAGGGACAAATTGTATACATATGTACATATATGTATAATGGAACATAATTTCAGACCAAATCTACAAACTCAAAGTTTTCTCTTAAAAAATTTTTCATGTTTAAATCTTACCTCTGCTCCATCTGTGGGTCACAGTGGCATGAGCACTGTAATAGAACAGCAGCAGCAGCAAAGTCTTCCAAAGCATCCTTCTCTTTAAAATAAGTATGTCTAGCTGTATATTAGCTTTTCAGTTTCCTACCTCCTTTCTTTTCAGGAATAAATAAATAAATGGCTTTTCCTCTCCCCCTCCCCCTTTGAAGGAGAACCTGTCTGTTCTTCTGAGTACAGCTGAAGCCAGTGTGCAGCTCTTCTCCCAAACCAAGTCTCCTCGGGATCAGGAAACTTACTTTCACAGACAGACTTTGTTTTTATCCACATCTGGAATGACTCATGGTGCATGTGAGTTTGCTGGCAGCTGTGCGAATAAATATCATTACATTTTTGTAGTTGAGTTTCATTTGTTATATGGGCCAATTGGAATTTATTTTTGTCCAATAGACAGCCACAAGTAACTTCATTAAAGGACACTCTTGAATCCTAGCTCTGTTGCTACTCCTCAGTAACGCAGTGGGCTATACGCTAACCCATGTCTAAGGCGAAAGTCTCCTCTGGAATGATATACAGCTGCTCTTGGATGCTTAAGTCAGGGAGTGGGGCATGTGCTCTGCAAGAACATTTTGCTACTGTGATTCATATAATCACTCCTTTATTAAGAACATATAATGCCGCGCTCAGACTTCGGTTCTGCAAGACAAGTCCTGGCCTTTTCCTCCATTTGGCCAGTGCGGAGAACAGGAAGGTCCAAATCCTTAACTGGCTCTCTTCAACGGTACTATGTGGAACACTAAGCCATCCTAAGGACAATCTACAATAGCCAGGCTGAGTGTGGAGCGGTGATGCTGTACAAAAAGGCTACTGATAGGCATCTCCTTACTGGCACTGGCCCCAGGGAAGACAACACTGGAAGCATTTATCCCAGATCCACCCAGCATGGAGGAAGCTGCAGGTATGTACTGTCCCTGGCACAGCTTCAACAGCAGCATCAGGACAGGGCTGGGGACCACTGCGGGGTGCTTTGTGGGAATACAGCACTGGAATAACAGCAGGTTGCTGTGTGTTGGAACAGACTGATGAAAATAGGAACACAAGGAATGTTTAGCAGAATCAAGGGATAAGACATACTCTATTTGGTGCCTAGAAGTGATCTTTCTAATTTTATTCTTTTATAGCCAGGAACAAATCTACAGACATCCATGAATTCACACTGGTGTAAAACTGGCATATAAGAAAGGAGACTCCAGCTCAGAAGGTATAAATAGAATAATTAAGGGAAAGGACCAAGAGCTTGAATGACAGAGGGCACTGTGACTCAGGATTAATGGGCACTGGCAGGAAGGCATGGAGAAAACCTGTTCAGCTCCTGACTGCCTCATGCCAAAGTCTGGCCTTAGCCTCAGTCCCCTCATTCTTTTCTGTCCCAGCTTCAAATAATACCATCTGTAAAGGAAGGCGGAGGGTCAAATAAGGTTGTCTCGCTTAAGGCAACTCCACTTCTTTTCCTACATGTACAGATTTTCCTATGCTCAGACTGCCTCAGGTTACTCCCACATGAACAGCACATGAATGTAAGACATTATTTTACATGCCAAGGAGATAATTCAAGATATAATTCAAGCACAGGGTGGCTAACTATATATTCTTCTTGTTACCAAAACATATTAGGGTTGGGTCTGAATGCAACATTAAAGCTAGGAGTGAGCTCACTCATATGTACCTCTCTGGAAATTATGGAGCTGGAGTAAACTAGTTTTACATTCCCTAGAGAGGGGGAGAGAGAGAGATGCCACAAGAGGATGATTATTCCCACTTAGCTCAGATAAGTCACTTAGGACAGGATGAGTTCCTCTCTGGAGGAGATGGATCCAGTCATCAGCATGGCCAATTCTGAGACATTGTGCATCAAGATGATTTGCATCAAGAAGATTCAAGTTGCACCATAGTAAGGGAGTAATGATCTGTCAACTGCTGATGAAAAAAACATTGTGGTATAACTCCTACTGGAGTGACTTCAACCAGTAGTTATGGCTTGAGGAAGTACACTTTAATTTAGTAAACCACCTTAGTGAAAGCCCTCTAGCAAGCAAACACAGTGGGTAGAGATGGCTTCATTAACTTAACTACATCAGCCTAGCTACCCTGGCACAACAATCTTAATGTCAGCAGAGTCTGTGAACAAGGTGTTTCAAAGTGAGGAAGACAAGGGAGAAGCAGCACTTAGGATGTGCATTCCAGGCTTGAGAAATGAAAGAAAATTATGATAAAGCTTAAAATCCTGTGGCGTAACAAAGGATCACATTTTCTGTGGTGGCAGCTTTTCTGAGCTGCTGTATCATTTGATTGTTTACTTCTAAAGAAATGGTAGCTGATAAGAGACGATGAAGGATGCCAGACAGGCTCCATCTCCCTCTAAACCAGAAATGGAACTATTTTGCAGAAAGATCCCTGCAGGATGGCTCTGCCTCCTGGCTGCCAGCAACAGGACACTTTGTCTTCTTGTTCATTGTCACTGCTTTATGTATCCAGCCTAGAAAGGGAAAGGAGAAGAATGCCAGGAACTTCCTTTCCTAATCTTCCCCTCCACCTCCAGCCTCTGGAGCAAACACTCTGGGACCAACCGAGGAGCAGCAGCTGAGAGAGGCAGAAGAGATGTGTGGTAAGGCTGGCATAAAGTTCAAAGGGATATGAGGGCGTGAAATGATTGCTGATCTCTCCTTTTCCAGACCCTGGAGATGTTGCTCTGAAGCTACGTTATGTGTGAAGTTGTTATTATTATTATTATTATTATTATTATTATTATTATTATTATTATTATTATTATTATTATCATCTCCTTGATCTGAGTCTGGCTACAGAGTCCTCTCTCACAGCCTTTTCCTTATCTGAGCTCAAATACAAACTCTCCCCATCTGTGGTTGAAGGTCCCCCAGTGCAGTCTTCAGACGTTCCAGTTTTGACTGCCTCTCTATGTGTACCACAACTGTAGGGCATATTTGACTTTAAGGCTGTGAATGATGCACTCACATCTGGTTTCTTACAGGAAATTGAGCTGTAAATATAACAGGTCTGTGTAAAATAAATAATGCTTTCCCTGTGGTATCTCCTCAAGAAGTGTCTATGCCCCCTTTCCCCCTTAAAACTGGAGATGTATTTCTCTCCCATATGGATGCATATACACAGAAAGTCATATCTTCCCTATTAAAAAGCCCTCCAGATGAGGCCAGGAAATAAATCTTTCAAACATGCTCAGGGCACTTCAACTATACAGCTTCTATTCATCTCATGACTATATTTTATTAGATAGTTGCTCAGTTTCAGCTCAAGGCAGTTTCTGCCTATGCTGGAGGTTTGAATCACTGCAACTATAATGAATGCTGAAGCAGGACAGAAATTCTCACTATTTATAAATATTAAATGCTTCTAGATTGCTTTGGAAGTATCAAGCAGAGGAGCTTTATGGTGAAGAATTCATCCGGAAGACATGTCTGGTAGGAGAGGTTACCATGATGCTGAAGCCAGGAGGCTGAGAGCTGGTCTGCCGGCAAATTGATATTCAGGTCCTAAATCAGTGTAGTGCTAGACACGGTCACTGTTACGTTTTGCCAATTGTCATAAATTTAGCTGTTGGAGCTGCAGGTCCTCTAGTGCTCCCAGTATCTGCAAGACCTTCCAGGCACGGGAAAGGTGTGACTGACTGCTGCCTCTGGCAGGCTGTTCGAGCTGAAAATGGACATTTATGTAACTCTCAGCGATGTGATTACATACCAAGGCAGCAGCTTTCCCACTTGATTCCTCCATACTGATGCTGCCAGTGAGCGTCTATACACACTGCTACTCCCAGACAGTCTTTTTAAGAAACCTGGAAACAGGGCAGGGAGGAAAGAAGTGGGTGAAGACCAAACAGGGAAGTTGCCAGCTGCCTTTCTGCAGCCCGTGCATGGTGAGAGCAGAGAGATGGTAGTGGTACTCTAAAGCTGTCCTTCCTTCCCATCTCAGATGCTGTCATGGTGAAAGGACAACTGCAGCAGGCCGGGAGCATAGAAACTCTGTATTTCCCAGGGGATGCTCTAGAGTGACCAGTGCTTCAGGTGAGGTGTCTCTATGTCCTTTTAAGTAGCTCATTGTGGGAAATAACTCATAATCTAAAAAGAGAATAGAAGGGGTAACAAGGCAACGGGTGATCCAAGATCAGCAGTCTGTGGGTCTTCCAAGAAAAATAATCTCTTTTTCACTGGAGAATACCAGTTCATGATGTCAGTTCAGCTTTGGCTTTGATGAGCTTCTGCCAAACCCAAGGCGGGGTTTCAGCCTGCCCTGATGCCTCAGTCGCCGTGAGAGTCCCTTGCAAATCTATCAAAAAGATAGATATTTTTTAGATTTGCCCCGGTTCAGTTTGAAAACAAAGTGTGTGGGGGGAGGAAATTCCTCTGAACCAGAAACTCGGTTCTGCAGCCAGAGCTCTGCCCTGCTCTGTAGGCCACGCAGCATCTGCCTGCTGCTATGCCAGCACAGTGGAACGACATTGATGCATGACACAGCAACTGGTCTCCTTCCCACCATAGAGATGGATAAATGGAGACACAGACACTAAGTGACTCATTCACCGAATGAATTGATGGTACAGCCGGGGCTAGAAACCCAGAGATGATCCATTCCTCTGCCCAAAATATAAGCCCCCAATCTGGCACTGCAGCAGTTTATGCAGCATCAGTCTCATCAACGAAAAGGAGAAAGTAACAAGAGGCCAAGCAATACCCTCACAACTAGGAGCACAAAGAGAGGGAAAAAATAGCTGTACACAAGCTCCTAGGAGAAGAAAAGTTATTTTGAAACTGGACTACTGGCATTTGAACCTTATTATCCATAATGACTCTTGCTGGCCCCTCAGCTGAGGTTGCAGCTTCCTGCAGCATAAGTTTGGATGACAGAATCTCACCAAGCCTCAACGCAACAGTAGACAGGGTGAACCTTTCATAGCCACACAGTGTAATGGAGTTGGAAGTTGCAAGGGACTTTGAGGCATCTTTTAGTTGTCCTTCTACCCCAGAACTCCCTTGTTACCTTGATCTAGCTGCCAGAGCTCACATTACAAAAGCACTTAGATGCTGAGCTGATACTTTACAAATCTACATTTAAATAACCAAAATTTAAATTCTGCACATGCAGCTTTGCAGATATCTGAATTCCTTGTG